CTTAATGCTGGATTAGTTTCAGCTTTTGTCTTCTCCAGATGTTCACTGATGGACTGGAGTGCTGTGGATTATTGTGATGTTTTTATCAGCTGTTTGGACTCTCATTCTGACGGCACCCATTCACTGCAGAGCATCCATTGCTGAGAAACTGATGCAATGCTACATTTCTCCAAACCTGATGAAGAAACAAACTGGATTATCTAAGGATGAGCACATTTTCATTTTTTTCTTGAACTACTGCTTTAACTGCTTTAGACTCAAAGGTAATAATCCACATCATCTCCGAAATCCAGCCTCAATTTTAAAACGTGATGTAAGTGAAGTTACTCATCAGGCTTCTGTCAAACCTTAAAACATGCTTAACGCAGAAGCATCGTCTGACTAATGTGAAATGTACACTAAAAGCACTGCGTGAGACGACATGCAGATCGATTCTGTTCTAGAAATAAACTTAACAGCCTGTCTGTGCGTATAAATGTTCATTTATCTCAAGTTCTCTCCATATGGAAACTATCAGTCAGCGTTCAGCTTCAATCCTAACCCGCAGGGCGATGTTCAGCTGCTCTGACATCAGCTCGTCTCAGGTAACCTTCATTAGTTTTCTGTAAGAGATGACTGAATCTCATTAGCAGAAGTCAGTCAATATCTCCCTGTGGCGTCTGTGCATTCAACCTCTGCTCATCAGCGCCTGCAGTCGCTTACAAAACATAATTCTATTAGTGACAAATCAATAGCAGATGATTTATGATAGTTATCATTAAATGTAGAGACACCGGGGCAAGTTGTCACTCTTTCACTCCAGTGAATATTTTCAGAGTGGGTTTATTTTTAAAAGTCTTGACTACAGCAAAACCTGTTTTTATGGTGCAATAAAAATATACAGCTGTTCGGGCACATGTTGGGCTATAGTGGGGCATGTTGTCACAGTGGGCCAAGCAGAACTGAATCCATAAAACAGCTATGAAGTGCAAAACAATTCAAGAAACAGCAAAAATGCCCAGCATACAAAAATATCATTGCATTGTTTTGGCCAACAGAAATTGTCATTAAAATTTTTTTCATTAAAATTATTATTTTTTTAAATTATATTTTCATTTTAATTTCAGTTTAAGATTTAGTCATTTTTAATGTGCTTGTCATTTTTATTTTTATTTTAAGATTTCTATGTAGCTTAAATTTTTTTAATTTCAGTTTTAGTAATTTCAACTTTTTCAAATAAAAAAGTACTTATTTATTAGCCAGGCAGCATTTCATTAGTTTTTTTTTTCATGTAATATTTATATTTTATTTTATATCAGCTTTACTTCAGTTACTGAAAATGATTTTAAATACTTTTAGTTTTAGTTAGCAATACACAAAAATATGTGAATAAATCAAATATGTGATAGAAATAAATGAAATATGATGATGATTGCACCAAATATTCTACACTCTCAGAAAAAAAGGTACAAAAGCTGTCACTTTGTACCTAAAGGGTGCATATTGGTACCTAAAAAAGGTACAAAAGGTACCGTCCCACTGACATCTTTTGTACCTTTTTTTTGAGAGTGTAACATAAGACACAGCTTTAAAACCAACGTACAAAACCACTGTTGGAGAAAAAGAACAAGTGTTTGTGTAGCTGGATTTACTGAGGGGCAACTTCCCCATGTGACAACTAGCCCCGGCTGGATGAGTGTGGTCAGATGAGCAGTTGTGTCTCATTACACACTGATATGAAGCCAAACACACACTGATCTGGAGCCTGCAGAGCCGCCACATGTCACACTCGCCTCTCTCTCGCTTCTCCTGAAGGAGCTTCTCTCCTGTTGTGACCATATGCCGCTCCTGCATGAATCCATGCGCTGGGAATGAACTCACACAGATATTAACACGTGTGTCAGGAAGCAGCAGAGCAGGTGAAATGCCAGAGATGAGCTCATGAAGATCCGCTGGTGGCCTTCCTTCTGTGAGGATTATCTTCATAATTTTCATCATCATCATCATTATCTTCATCATCATCATCATCTTCATAATCTTCATCATCATCATCTTCATCACCATCACCATCATCTTCATCACCATCATCATCATTATCTTCTTCATCATCTTCATCATCACCACCACCATCATCTTCTTCTTCATTATCATCATAATCACCATCTTCATCACCATCATCATCATCTTCTTCATCATCTTCATCATCACCACCACCATCATTATCATCTTCTTCTTCATTATCATCATAATCACCATCTTCATCACCATCATCATCATCATTATCTTCACCATCATCATCATCTTCTTCATCATCTTCATCATCACCACCACCATCATTATCATCTTCTTCTTCATTATCATCATAATCACCATCATCTTCATTATTATCTTCATCACCATCATCATCATCATTATCTTCATCACCATCATCATCATCTTCTTCATCATCATCACCATCTTCTTTATCATTATCTTCATCATCACCATCATCTTCATAATCTTCATCACTACCATCATCTTCATCATCATCATCTCACACCGAAATCACAGGATATTAAACAAACCAAGCCTGTTTCTAAGAGCATGATTGTTATTTAAAATAAAATAAATGTTAAAGGAAATAAAATAAATGTATATATATGTATTTTCATATTGATATAAACTAAACTTACTTTATATTAGTTTGTTGCAAGGCAACATTTTTCATTTTCCTTTAGTTTAACTTGACGCACTAAAATAACTAAAACTTAAATAAAACTTAATAAATATTATATAGAAAAAATGAAAAAAATACACAACAAAAACACTACAACTTCAACTAAAATTAAAATAACAAACATTAAAGGCTATAATTGTATCTTAATGATACTAAAATAACCCTGCACACGAAAGGCAGTTGAACAAATACAACCCTGATGTGAAAATACTTCAATATAAATAATTTTCCTTCACATCAGAAAGAAAATTGTAGGAAAATAAGCTCAGCTGTCATGAATATATAGAGTTCAGATGCAAAAGCCTCTAAGTGCCATCTGAAAATTTCTTCTAAAATGAGCATTTTTATCAGGCTCCTGTTTAGGTTCAGAAATGTCACGTTAATAGCAATGTATAGGTCCTTTTCTATGCCATTAAAGTGAAATAAATGAACATAAACATAGGAACCTGATAAAAATGCTAATTTTAGAAGAAATTTTCAGATGGCACTTAGAAGCTTTTGCATCTGAACTCTTCATATATTCAGTATGCAAAAATGAATAATGACACTAACAATGAGCCTTATTTTCTTTATGCAAAATTTATTTTTTCCTTTGAACTGAAATATAATTAGGTTGTATAATTAGCATGTAAATGTGTTTCTGTGAGCAGCACTGCTCTAGTTTTTCTTTTTATATAATTGGACAAATAAACCATGTCTGTCAGGTAATAATATAAAGTAAATTTATACATGGGTCAAAGATGTTAAGATGTCCGCATCAAAAGAAATGTACAAAAGTGATTTAGAAAGTCTATAGAAGCACATTAGATGCAAGTAAAGTGTCTATTTTAAGGTTCCAAATAAGCTTTTGGAGGATACAATGTTACAGTTTGGTTGAAATAATGTTATATTGTCATTCAGTGTGGCACAATATTTATGTACAAATTCAAACAACATGCTCATTCTGACCTGTACATATTAAAATATATAAAAGAATTAGGGAGAATATTACATTTTAAATGAGTAAAAAATTCTTACTGACAAATGGGCAAAAGCTAGGATAGTGGCACGTTTAAAAAATGTAAAATTACAACTAATTAGTATTTGGGGTGAAAGTAATCAGTTCTTAATATGTCATAAATTGATTTTTGTTGTAAATATGCCTGACACGATTGTTACACTGAATGACATTTTAGTGGCTCTCGTCTGTAAATCAGGGGGAAAAATGTGTATTTATTTTTTGCTCAGAAAAACAAAAATGCAATTAAACAGAAAATTAAAAAATTGGGGGAAAACAACCATTTAAAGCAGTATTACTTATTGTTTTTATGCTTGAACCATTTTTCGTCTTTGACCCATATATATTTGAAATATAAAGTTTATATATATATTCTTTTCTACAATTGTATTATTTTCCTTTATTGTATTTTTTTTGTTTCTTATGAACCTTTTTTTTAATCATTTTTCTTCACAGCACAGCATTTATAAAACACAGTTCTTACAAACCTGCCTTAATTCACTCGTTTCATCACACTTGGATCATTTAGAGATGAAATGAAAACTACAACTCCGCACAAACAAAACGTAAAACTATAAAAATATTAGTTTTTCCGATGACTTTATACTCTTGATCTTACATTAATGCAGCCACAGGTAACTCACACACACTGATCAAATATTAAACCCTGCACACACTGTGAATCGCGTCTGTCATATGAATAAATGTAAATAAACTTTAGCGTCCGTCACGACAGATTTAAGAGCTCAGCCGGTGTCTGAAAGTGTGCAGTGATTGAGAGAAACCACATGCATTTGAACAGAACAGGTCTTTTATTGTACAGAGGCAGCATTCCCGTGAGCTTCCGATCTATTTGGGTCCCAGCATGTCGTGCGGTCGCACCCACTGCTCAAACTGCTCCTCCGTCAGGAATCCCAGCTTCACGGCCGTGGCTTTCAGAGTCCAGCCCTCTTTGTGCGCCGTCTTTGCAATAGCGGCGGCTTTATCATAACCTGAAAGAGAGCGAGAGACGACTGACGACATCCAGACTGTCTTCTGTGCAGGAATGATAATATTGCACCAGGTCTGTAAATTACTGAACAGATATTTCTGGCGCCCTCTGCTGTGGTTACCTATGTGAGGGTTCAGCGCCGTCACCAGCATCAGAGACTCGTTCATCAGCTTGTTGATTCTCTCTGTATTGGCCTCGATTCCAGACACACAGTTATTAGTGAATGAAACCGAAGCGTCGCCCAGCAGCCGGGCAGAGTTCAGCACGTTTTTAATCTGGAGAAGAGAAACGAAACATTTAAACCCTTAACACAACTCATCTGATGCCTTATATACAGTATAACTTATATGTGTCCCTGCAGCACAAAAGCAGTGTTAAGTCGCTGGGGGATATTTGTAGCAATAGCCAACAATACATTGTATGGGTCACAATTATACATTTCTCTTTTATGCCAAAAATCATTAGGATATTAAGTAAAGATCATGTTCCATGAAGATATTTAGTAAATGTCCTACCGTAAATATATCAAAACTTAATGTTTGATTAGTAATATGCATTGCTAAGAACTTCATTTGAACAACTTTAAAGATGATTTTCTCAATATTTAGATTTTTTTGCACCCTCAGATTCCAGATTTTCAAATAGTTGTATCTCAGCCAAATATTGTCCTATCCTAACAAACCATACATCAATGGAAAGCT